TTTTATTCATCTCCCTCAAAATTATCTCTGATCTCACAGATGTGGATCCAGAAACATACCATGCTTCAACCCTGAACGAATCAGCAAATGTCGTCTTTTATAGCTGATTTCTTTGACAATTCTGTTATTAGTCCGGGGGGGGGGGGGGGAGAAACCTTGTCAAGTTCTGGAAGAACCAGCCTCTAAAAATAGAAAATAAGTGATAGTTATATTGGACTCCACTGCCAGCATTTAAAATTGGTCAACTAGGGATGACAGTTTTCAACAAGATGAAACTGAAAAGGTGACACTTTGACAGAACAATCTTCCATTAATCTTTTGATAACATAGGGAGATATATTTTCCATGTGATTAATTTCATATTTTCCAGGGGAAGCAGTTTCATGAAAGGATGCAGAAAATAAGCTAACAATTGGACGGGTGGTGTTTTTTTCTTCTTCTCCCTTTTTATACGTCAAATCACATACAAAGCCGCATATTTTCAGGGCACTGTGCAATGTATTTTGAAAAATAATCTTAGATGGATCTCCATTTTATCTAATAGGAATCCATCTGCAGAATATTTTTTTATCTTCACTCCCCGTTCTTAGCAAAAGTCTTGCAAGAGCATTGCCAGAAAAGCCTAGTCAAGTCACATGGGGGAAAGGTACATTCTCAAAGACAAGACAAATGACATTACCCTGGCCGTGACAAAATTTCTTCCGGAGGTAGTAAGAATTAGAAATCAACATGCTCTGGATAAAACATAATGACTGCCTTGGAATGTTTTCTCGGTATTCCTGCTGTATTTTGCTTTCAAAACTGTTTTTGTGGGTCTTTGGACTGAAATAAAGAATGTTTATTTGTACATCTTTGAAAGCATAAGGTAGTATTGGGTTCATGAAATTACACAGAAGAAGAGAAGGAGTTTGGATCTGATATCCCGCTTTATCACTACTCTAAGGAGTCTCAAAGTGGCTAACAATCTCCTTTCCCCCACAACAAACACTCTGTGAGGTGAGTGGGGCTGAGAGACTTCAGAGAAGTGTGACTAGCCCAAGGTCACTGAGCAGCTGCAGGTGGAGGAGCGGGGAATCGAACCCGGTTCACCAGATTACGAGTCCTAATAAGTTTCTTGTTACCTGACAGGGTAGGAAACCAACAAGATTCTCTACCATTATAGGAAGCCAGTGTGGAGTAGTGGTTAGAGTGCTGGACTATAACCTGGGAGCTCAGAGTTCAAATCTCCACTCGGCCATGAGGCTCATTGGGTGGCCTTGGGGCAACACACTGCGTCTCAGCCGCATCTGCCTCACAAGGTCGTGGTAAGAATAAAATAGGGAGGAGAAATATGTATGCCACCTTGAGCTCTTTAGATGGAAAGGCAGAATATGGAGTATGAGACTCTTAATCACTGGGTCATGGGTTGAAGCCCTATGCTGGGCAAAAGATTCCTGCTTGTGGTCCCTTTTTATACAGTGGTACCTGGGGTTAAGTACTTAATTTGTTCCGGAGGTCCGTTCTTAACTTGAAACTGTTCTTAACCTGAAACACCACTTTAGCTAATGGGGCCTCCTGCTGCCGCCGCGCCGCAGGAGCACGATTTCTGTTCTCATCCTGAAGCAAAGTTCTTAACCCAAGGTACTATTTCTGGGTTAGCAGAGTCTGTAACCTGAAGCGTATGTAACTTGAGGTACAACTGTATTGTGATTTTATGTTGTAAATGCCCTGACACCTCGGGTATAGGAAGGTATCCAAGTCCTGACCATGAAACATCACAGCCCCAAATGAAGATTCATATACCATTTCAAGCACCCCACATTTATGCTAGACTATTCTGGCATTTCTGTCTTTGTCTCTTTCTCTAACACAATGGCTGGCCTGCCAACAGCTCTCTTTTCAACTGTTTTCGTTTTGAACAGATCAGGACTTGTTGTTGTTTAGTTGTTTAGTCGTGTCCGACTCTTCGTAACCCCATGGACCAGAGCACGCCAGGCACTCCTGTCTTCCACTGCCTCCCGCAGTTTGGTCAAACTCATGCTGGTAGCTTCGAGAACACTGTCCAACCATCTTGTCCTCTGTCGTCCCCTTCTCCTTGTGCCCTCCATCTTTCCCAACATCAGGGTCTTTTCCAGGGAGTCTTCTCTTCTCATGAGGTGCCAAAATATTGGAGCCTCAGCTTCACGATCTGTCCTTCCAGTGAGCATTCAGGGCTGGTTTCCTTCAGAATGGAGAGATTTGATCTTCTTGAAGTCCATGGGACTCTCAAGAGTCTCCTCCAGCACCATAATTCAAAAGCATCAATTCTTCGGTGATCAGCCTTCTTTATAGTCCAGCTCTCACTTCCATACATCACTACTGGGAAAACCATGGCTTTCACTATACGGACCTTTGTTGGCAAAGTGATGTCTCTGCTTTTTAAGATGCTGTCTAGAAGATCAAACGTATCCATTCTTAAGGAAATCAGACTAGTAACATTTAAAAAGGAGTAGAGATAAAGTTGAACTTAGCTTTCAGCTAAACATGGTGCCGAGTCAGGGGGAAATATATATTTCGGTTACTGAGAAATTAAGAATCCAGTATACCCATACAGGTCATTAAATGTAACAGCGATAGCACAGCACACACAAACAGCATGGAAACGTGATTAGGCATCCTTTGGGACACACAATCTTGGTTTAGGCTTCAGTAAAACTGCACAGAGGGATATAGAAGATTATGTATTGTAACTTGGGGTGAAGCTGGGGTGTAATGGTTTGACCACATTAAAGGATTGATTTCTTACAACTGTGGAATGAGTGATAGGCAGAGTAACTGAAATGAATCCAGCATATTTTGAAGAGGTCAATGGAACCCAAAGGAGGTTGCCACAGCAAGCCACAAAAATCCCAAAATTAAAAAGCCCCCAATGCTGATCAAAGGCTCATTAAATGCTGAATGCAGTCTCACTGATCTGGAAAGAAAATGGAGTGCAGGCATCACATCGAACAGCTGATCAGTACACCAACCATCCTGATGACATCTCTAAGGCTTCAACAGTTCTAGTGATGACAAGCAGAATATATGACATGATTGTGTTGACCATGGCAGAAGGCAGAAAAAGAAAGTTTATGCAGCCAAGAACATATTCCCTATGCCTAACGAAGTCCTCCAATGCAGCAGCTGGACTGGTGACTGGGAGTGGCTGCCGAGACCACATAACACTGGTCCTGAAAGACCTACTGGCTCCCAGTACATTTCCAGGCACAATTCAAAGTGTTGGTGCTGACCTTTAAAGCCCTAAACGGCCTCAGCCCAGTATACCTGAAGGAGCGTCTCCACCCCCATCGTTCAGCCCGGACACTGAGGTCCAGCGCTGAGGGCCTCCTGGCGGTTCCCTAACTGCAAGAAGTGAAGCTACAGGGAACCAGGCAGAGGGCTTCTTGGTGGTGGAGCCCACCCTGTGGAACACGGTCCCATCAGATGTCAAAGAAATAAACAACTATCAGACTTTTAGAAGACATCTGAAGGCAGCCTTGTTTAGGGAAGCTTTTAATACTGGATGAATCATTGTATTTTAATATTCTGCCGGAAGCCACCCTGAGTGGTTAGGGTTATTTATTTATAAATATATTATTATTATTATTATTATTATTATTATTATTATTATTATTATTATATTGGGGGTAGTAAGGAGTGGATTTCTGAGAAAATGCATGGGGCTCTTTTACCCATGTGCCCAGAGACATGAAGTAATTAGCTATTCTGTGGATAGATCATTCCATTTTGTTACGCCTGCAAGAGTCAACCAGAGCTTACAACAATAGACAATCTGTTAAAAACTCCATTTCTGGAAGGAATTCGAAATCTAATTTGTTTACAACCTAATGACAAAGCAACACACATTTATAATTCTGCTTATTTTCAATCCAGCTGTAGCAGTCTGACAGTTTTGTTGTAAGATAGCAAAATCTACATGCACCAGCATTTAGCCAGCCATAAGGGGCTAGATGCAAACAAGAAAGAAAAGAAAATAGTTCCTCTTCCATCAGCTTGTCTGCAAAGAAAGGCATCCATCACCTCATTGCATATTATCCATTTCATACTCCAAAAGCTTTTTTCTTTGTTTTGTTTCTATTTGCCCTCTTATCAGCAGCTTTGATTGAATTGTGTAGCTAAGTATACAGGGCTCCTGTGATTTTCATTTTCTCTGGGGGCTACATACTGATAAAGACAATAATTGACATTGTTATTCAGTTTCTACCCAAGAAAGAAACAAGAAAAGAAAACAATTTTATTTCAAGTGAGGCATCTCCAGTGACAGCCTTGAATTACCAACTAAACAAAACGATTGCTTGGCTATTTAAGTCAGGCAGGTCAACTAAATTGTTCACACAGCACTATTTAGATTATCCCCTGCTTTTCCTAAAGGGGCTTTTTATATTGAAATTGGGGAAAATGCACCAGGTAGTTCTTCTGCGGCACTTACAAAAATGAATGCACTCACCACAATGTTAGGGGGGAAGATGTTCTGAAACTAACTAAGCTGCCCTGATAGAAAGTTATAGGTCAGCAATTTCATCTGACCGTCTTGTAAAACAGATATGATTTGGGTTTATAAAAGCATTTAGAATTTTCAGAGATGAATGAAGAGAAGATTGCAATCCTATACTTCAGGGTGCACTGGAAATCTCCATACTGTATCCCAACCATGAGTTATAGAAGTATACTCTGGAAGCAAAATAGCACATGTTAAAGAGGAGCATGAGCAGAGCATTATAGTGGCTTGGAGATGACCTGAATCACTTATGGGTCTTTGGAATATGGTCTGGCTTATTTCCAAGGCCATCTGAATCTCACCCCATCCCTGCTGCTGGTTTGACAGGAATTACTTGGAAACTTTCAAATTCCTGAGCTGCCAAAATAATCTCTCTCCTGCCTACGTAAGCTTCAAATATGTAGTAATAGTATCATAGAATGGTACGAGTTGGAAGGGACCACAAGAGTAATCTCATTCAATTCTCTGCAATGCAGGAATCTTTTTGCCCAACATAGGGCTTGAACCCAGGGCCCTGAGATTAAGGGTTTCATGCTTTACCAACTGAGCTGTCCTGCAGTGATGTAACATGCCACACACACACAGGAGGCTTGTACCGCCTCTTTCCAGGTTTTTGTGAGTGCAGCTGTCAACCCCAGCCAAGGTTTACGGGAGACTTTGCTTCTGCCCACGCAAAGCAGTAATTTAGCGTGCCTAGCACCCATGAACAAATCACATTATCTATAACCTAAACCAGCCCTCATGGAATTCCCTCTGTACAAGTGGTGCAGAAGTGGACCCAGCTTACCTCCCCACTTCCTCTGTGGACCAAGCTTGACAGGGGTGTGGGGTCGCCCATCTGACAATCATCCATTGTCACAAGTTGTCCATATGGACCATGTTTCCCTGCACAATCAGATGAATGCCAGGACTTGCAAAGCATGGCAAACAGATCTAGGAAAGCCCTTCGAATCAGCTGGCTTATACTTTATAAAGCTTACAAGAGGACCAGAAGGGAGATGGGGGTTTTGCTCCCTGAATATGTTCTTTGTGTTTTTAAACTTCTGCTTTGAATTTAGTTTTTATTCTGGGATGTGTGTATGCTTGTTCGTTCGTTCGTTCGTTCATTCATTCAATTCAATTTGTATTCCGTCCTTCCTCCATAAGGGGCCCAAGACAGCAAGCATATCAGGATAAAACTGTTAAAATACGTAAAGACATCTAAAAATGATTTCAATATAATTAGGTGTCCAGACAGGACTGTTGTGTCTTGGGAAGCAGAATACATTTTTTTTTAAAAAAGAAAAAAGTGTGTACGGTATCTTATCTCCCAGAAGCGTTTAGGAACTCTGTCACACTGTATGAAATGGTAACGTGGTACAAACACTGATTGGCCATACCTTTGAAAACCCATTTTTCAGCATGCTGTTTTTAGAGAGGTTATTCTTTATGCTGCTTTTTGGTCAAAAGACTCCATGGTGACAACCATACCCTTAAAATGCAAACAATGAAATCACAATAATAAAATTCAATATAAACCGCAATGTAACAACAGTGAGAGTATAAACTGGGGCATAGAACTCTCTCAGTTATCATAAAAAGCCAGATGGAAAAGTAGAGAAAAGGAGGGAGCTAAACACGCCCCTTGAGGTTACAGGTTCATTACATATTAAAGGTCATAACCTTCAAGTTAGAGAGAGGTGCTCAAATAGGATTAAAAGTGTACTTACAAAGGGTTTTGAAAACAGTGAATCTTAGAAAGATTCCAGTGAGCAGAATGAAGACAGTCAAGCTCTTTCCCCATAAATTCCAAGCAAAATTCATTTGTTCCTACCTGCTATCAATAGGGCTGGGCGATATATCAATATATCATCCAAAACTGGTTTGAAGCGCATATCATGATAGCAATTTCATGATAGCAATTGTGTGTGTGTGCGTGTGCGCGCACTATGCAAAAATCATGTTTCGGGGAAAACCCTGAAGCCAGCCAATGCCTTTACATAGATCCACCCTTATTTCAGACTTTGCAATATATCAGTATATTGTGATGTTTAGCTGGTGATATATCACGATGTTGAAAACCAGGTATCGCCCAGCCCTATCAATAGTCCTTTGCTCAGAGCCCTGATTTACAGAAGCCATTCCAGTTTTGGATCTGATCCTGGAAAGTCCCACTTTTCTTTAAGACAACCCTTTTTCTCCAATTGGAGAAATATTGGAGGATATGGAGTTATGTGACTGACACACACACACACACACAAACAAACACACACACACCGAGCCAAGGAGATAAGTAACTATACAAACTTTAAAAGACATCTGAAGGCAGACCTGTATAGGGAAGTTTTTTTAATGTTTAATGTTTTATTATGTTCTTATATATGTTGGAAGCCACCCAGAGTGGCTGGGGCAGCCCAAACAGACGGGTGGGGTATAAATAAATTATCATCATCATTATCATCAAATAGACCGTCCCTATTTTCATCAGACAAATGATGGACGGTATGTCTTTGTAAGCTTGCACAATTTGTCACTGGATTCTGCAGCATTGGTTTTAGGGTCCTGCCACTGTGCCTGGCAAGAGAGTAATAAAAATATACAGTATATATAAAAGACAGGGAAACTACTTCCATCATGCCCAGCTGCAAAGAAGTACAAACGATATTGCATACAACTGTCTCATGCACTTAGCCTAGATTGGTTTAACACTAGTGAAAATGAGCCTACTGTTGCCTTACTGTGAGGTATGCAGCTGCTAGACAGCACAATGCAGAGAAGTATGATCTAAAGAGCGTCTTGTGTATACAGACATCCAAGTCTGAACACTGAGCCAATTATTCTTGCCATTAGAAACCAACACAGGCTGATTTCCAAGTAACTGGGAACAGAACTGTTCAATTCAGTTTTGAATAGCCAGTAATTTTCTGCTTAAAAAATCTGGAAAGTCATTATTTTAAAAACTAACTACCAGGAGGAATTTTACATACAGCATTTTCTAGTTTGCTTCCCACCCCCTTAAAAGCTTTCTCCTTTTTTTGCCAAAGGGACGCCTGTGCATTTAAAAATGTGTTTGTGTGCACACTTGCTAAGGCTCAAGCAAGGGGGAGCGCTCAAAATCATTGGCAAAGTGCACTATCTCTGAAGGGAATCTCTGGGAACAAAATGAAATAATGAAGAAGAAAAGTGCTAGATTATTTTAACCGCGCAGTTCATTTAGCGATCAGCGGTGACGCATCACTTACTGGCGAAGAAATATCCATGCTCAGGGGAAACGGTGGCACATATTGAGCAAGACATGAGAGAGACAAGGTAACATGCCTGAATCATCAGTGGAGCATGAATTCAGCCCATTTTGAATAGCTGGAGCCAATCCAAACATACCACCACCTCATTTATTTCTGTACGTGCTGCGGAGGTAGGCTGGTTGCAGTAGAGAGTTGGCAAGCCCAATTGTATGCCTGCTGCGTCCTGCTGGTTACTCATGCTGGTATTCTGCCACACTGATGCTGTTACTGCATTACTTTATGATGAAGCTTTCATCACGGTCAAATCAAGTGCAGAAATGTAGAAAATAAACTACGTGTCCGGACAAACAACACTTGCCTCTCGGTATTCTTATTTGAGATTTCAGCTAGAGCCAATTCAAGTTTAACAAATCTCTCAAGGATTATACAAGAGTTTCATAGGCCTTAGTGAGAATAATAGGTACAGGAATGGGGCATTAATGTTAAGACAGACTTTATAGAAATCGTTTCCTAGCCAAAAAGCAACTACATAAAGTTGTGTTTATGGGAAAACTGGTTTTTCTAATTTTTTTCCGGCTTTGCAGCGGCTTTTCATCCATTTTACACAGCAAGAACCCAAGTGAGTTTTTGAAATAATTCCTGGAAATCCGGAATGCTTACTAATTTTTATTATTGCAACTAAAAGTAGATCCTGGAAGAAACTGGGCCTTGAGCTCAATGGTAGAACATAGGCACTGATATCCTGTGAGCTCCAGTGAAGAGACTTCAAACAAACACCGCAGGAAACTGTGGAGAGCTAGATTCAAAACACATGGTAAATAAGTCCTGACTATCATAGGCAAGTAAAATTATATTTAGTAATACTACTATGGTTTGTTCCTTCTTTTCTACATATTTATATACTGCCTAAATGAGAAAATGGCTCCTAAGTGGTTTACAATCAACTATAAAATCGATAATTAAAATATACAATAAACGAGTTGAATCACAGCATTAAAAACATCCATACTTAAAAATATATAACAAAACAAGACACTTAAAAACTGTTGAAACAAATAAATTAGGAAGTTGGAGTTCAGGGGGATGCCTAAACAGGTGTGTCTTCAAGAGCTGGTGGAATGCCAATACTGATGGGGCCTCTTTTATTTCACCAGGAAGAGAATCACACATTTTTGGTGCCACCAATGAAAACTTAGGGCTAAATTATTTACTGCATGGTCAAATATATGAACTTGGCTAAAAGGCTACCGACGACAAGAAGAGAAGCTAACACAACGCTTAGGAGAATGACACAGTTGTTGTTTTTTTAAAGGGGGGGGGAATCCTAAGGGGAATTTTTGGATTGCTTCTTTCTTTGGGCAGGGTGGAGAATAAGGAAATGACCTGGGAAAGAGAATTATTAGCCAGCTGTGTTAACTCCACATTGCCCATTTTGTTGACCAGCTCACTTGTGAACACAAAGTATTCTTTCCTCACAGAAAAGGCTGTCTACTGTACCCCAGCATGTGTCTCTTTTCTGGTTTTAAACATAAAGGTGAAGGACCCCTGACAGCTAAGTCCAGTCGTGGACGACTCTGGGGTTGCGGTGCTCATCTCGCTTTACTGGCCAAGGGAGCCAGCGTTTGTCCACAGACAGTTTTTCTGGGTCATGTGGCCAGCATGACTAAGCCGCTTCTGGTGAAACCAGAGCAGCGCACAGAAATGCTGTTTACCTTCCTGCCAGAGCGGTACCTATTTATCTACTTGCTTTCGAACTGCTAGGTTGGCAGGAGCTGGGACCGAGCAATGGGAGCTCACCCCGTCGCAGGGATTCAAACCGCCGACCTTCTGATCGGCAAGCCCGAGGCTCAGTGGTTTACACCACAGCGCCACCTGTGTCCCTGTTTTTATCTCCTTCAAATACAATGGATACTTCTTGTTGTTTCTCTGCATTGGGTGTAACAGAATCAGTTAAGAGTTCCCAACACAGACAAAATTCCTGCCTTCAGAGAGAACTCCCTACTGCATCACTATACAAGTCATGCTCTTGCCACTTTCAGGAGTCATGAGAAGCTCCCAAACCTGAGACTTATGGAGAAATGCAGGAAGAAGAAGAGTTTGGATTTGATATCCCGCTTTATCACTACCCTAAGGAGTCTCAAAGCGGCTAACATTCTCCTTTCCCTTCTGCTCCCACAATAAACACTCTGTGAGGTGAGTGGGGCTGAGAGACTTCAAAGAAGTGTGACTACCCCAACGTCCCCCAGCAGGTGCATGTGGAGGAGCGGAGACACAAACCCGGTTCCCCAGATTACGGGACTACCGCTCTTAACCACTACACCACACTGGCTCTCC